GGATCTTTCCAGAAATATGTAAGCATAAAGGAAAATTTATACAGTAGTTTCACAGTCACCAAATCAAATATATCTCATCAAAATGTGACCTATTCAAATGGAAAGTAATGTAGTGAAGAAAGATCATCTCTTAGCTGAATACATGTTAAGTCCAGCAAAACTGTCAAAGCCCTTTAAGGCAAACAGCCCATTACAGACCATGACCATTGTAAACTATTAGCACAGTCAAGGTAATGTGGGATAATTTCTCCAGAACTGAAAAACTGACAGACTGTCATTTGACTTTTCCTAAGAAACCTACAGATAGATCATCAGTGCAGACAACACTTCACAGTAGAAAGGTTCTCCCCTTTCTCAGAGCAGCTAATGTAACAAAAGAGCTCAAGGGCAAGCCTGTATAGGCTACATAACTTAACAGCAGCAAGACAAAACAAAGTATCAAAATCTCTTTTAAGAACTCAGTAAGTGTGGACTACTTCATAGTACAGAGCTTAGAAAAATCAACTGGATGACTCTGACAGAAATCAGGATGCTGATTTCTCCATCAAGAATAGAAAATTGTTACAGCACTGACTCCCAGTGATAGTACCCACAACACCCAGGGAAAGCATAAGATTAAATAATTAAGCTGTACCCACCACAACAAAGGACATGAGCCAGTTTGGGAAATGCTAATAGGGACCCTAAAGTAAATCTGCCTGTTAGAGTACCTCCCTATGTTTGCACCCTAGAGGGATCTAAGCCAGGGAATGTAAGCGCTGCAGTTGTAGGAGAGCATAAACAGGAGATACCGCACTTTAAGCTCTGCATTGTTATCGCACTTTACAAAGCAAACAGGAAGTTCTTCAATAACAAAAAAAAATAGATCACTCACTGCACCTGTCACAACAGTTTTGCCGGTACTCTTCTCATATGCCAGTTGAACACCAGCACAGTGTCAATGACACCTTCAGAATAATTGCTGATTTACTCTGGCATTAGGGAAAAGGCAGGCCCAAATACACAGTCACTTTTTAGGGCATGCAAATAGATGATTAAAAACAAACAGGTATCCAATAGGATACCAATAGAACTTGAACATCTAATATTAAACAAATATTCCTTTAGACCTTCAAATGACAGTTCAGATACAAATTGCACTGCAAGAAATCAAATAATCTGGCATATCCTATTCTCAGTGACTTTATCATCAGCACATCACCACATCTCACTGAGCTCTCACCAGTTTGATAACACAAAGGCTCCAATGAAAAATCGTTAAAGAAACAGAGACTGAGATCTCTGTGCATAAGATGCTGAAAACAGATGTCCTGTCCCATTAGAGTTTCAAAATAAAATTAATATTTTGAAGATCATAGATCATGAATTTCTTTTAGTTTATTGACTAAATAAACTTGTCTTGTTTATTGACAAGATTATAGCTCACTGTTCTTCAAACTGAAAAGCACAGCTCTTCATGCTTCTAAGCACAAACATCAGCTCTAGAAAAAATGCAAAGTTCTTGTACAACTTTTGTTAGCAGTTTACCTGCCCCCTCATTTACAATTCAACAAAAACTGCAAATGTCCTTAGCCACAGAAAGTTTAGTTCATACTACAAAGACTCATGCTTTTAGCAATAAAGCCTCTAGTTCAGCCTTTAGACCAATTTGGCAAAAAAAAATGCGTCTTCAAACAGTGATTGCTTGAAAAAGTGTGTGTCAACCCCAAAAAATTAAAATGAGGGAAATTTCAAAAGAATGCTTAATACTGATTTCTAACATTTCTAAATAATTTTTTTTTGTAAATCTCTTTTTTTCCAAACAAAACATCTCATATTTTCATTTCTTTACAAAACTGATCTGAGCTGAGCTACTGATGACTCAAAAAGAAAAGTTTAAAACTTTATTTAAAATTGAAAAAATCCAAAACCACTGGCTAATATCTATTTTAGCCATGCTTTTCATACCTGCTTTTCAGTGTGGCCATAAAAAAAAAAAAATCTAATTAACAGTGTCCAATTCCTACCCCTTGGCAATCACTTTTTTTTTTTAATTCTAGATAGGTCCTAAAATACTGTTAGTCACAAAATATGCCAAAGATTTCTGCATCAAGATACAGCTCCACTAAGCCTTATGTTTGAACTTACTAGGAGATCCTCTGGCTGCATTTTATGCAGATCAAGTCTCTGAGATTCAGATTCAATATTTTTGAAGAGCACTTTCTTTAAAGCCACAGTATTCAAAGATTTTCTGTCCAAAGGATCTCCTTTAATTTTCAGACTGTACTTACTGTATGTACTTATGTGAGTCTTGAGTAATCCCAACTCTCTTCTCTGCACAGCAGTATTGGTTATGATGATACTTCTTCTCCATACTTCGGCATTTTTCCCAACTGAACTCTGCTTCTAGAGGTAACTCATTCATCCATTTTCTGATAGCTCATTTGTTCTGTCAAGATTACTAAGAGAGACAGCAAATACTGCAAAAAAAAAAAAAAGGAAATTTAAACAAATTTGCCTTGGCTACGTTTATTTCTTTCTTGTATTTGTTTTCCAAGAATATTCATTTCATTGAGTTTCACCAACATGAATGAACACACTTGAATTTTTAATTTCTTTCAAGCATTCATACCAGAAACTAGAAAGGTTTAGACATCTATGGATAATGAGGAGAAACACAACTATATTAGTGAGAGCTGAATTAAAGGCATGCATCCTCATGCATCAAGGCATTAAGAAAATAAATTCAGAACTCATGCCCCAAAGCTCTATAAATAAACTCTGATAAAGATGAAGAAGAAACTTTTCCTTCCTATGTGTTTTTCCATAATTGGCACTATATCCTGAAGTATGCTTATTAGCATGTACCCTTTATTGCAGAGAAAGCTAGAGTTCATCATCTATTCCAGGGTAACTCTGCATGTTTTTACCTCATAAAAAGGTGAGGTTGCTTATCCCTCCGTGAAAAAAATATAATCTACTTTGTATTTTCTGTTGGGTACATCAGGGAATGAACACACAAACGGATGCTGTCTATACAGCAAACCAACTGAAAATTACCCACAGTGACATGCCTGTGCGCTCATACATGGCGATGTAAGCTAGGCCTCCCTGTCCCACACAAAGCATCAGTCCAAACTGCTATGGCAATATGTACGCTCCTCTTAGAAATATCGAGCAACAGAAACAGCATTATGGGACTACCCACGCTTAGCTCAAATCACATAGAGATCTCCTAAATAAAAAATCTGAATCTGAGAAAGTTGCAGGTTTTAGAAGTCTTTTTTATGAAAAAGATGCAATTCATGAGGTAAATTATTCTTTATGATTCGTCAGCTGTACTCATTAATAGACATCTAAACAATCTTGCAAATTGATCCATCTTCAACATGTTTTTCAGGCAACTGCTTAGAATATTACGGCATTTTAACAACATTTTATTAGGTGTTACTGGTATCCTATTTAATAATTCATACAGACACATAAAGTTTGTTTCTTGTGCCCATCAACCAGCAGTTACGATGCAAATAATCAGTTTGGCAGTTCAGTGTTATGCAACGCAAGAATGAAAAACTACCCACACAGAAGCAATCCTCTACGGGAGCGGCAGCGATGCGACGCAATTTACATACTCTTTTTCACACTGCCAGCCATGGGAAGTCAGCAATTCACAAGGGACATTGCATCTTTCAGGAAGCAATGAATATGTCATTACAGGGTTAAGCAGTCATCAAAGGCCACGAATAAAAAAAGCAGACTGTGCCAACATATTTACATTCAAACACTTTTGAAAGTAAACAATACAGAAAAAAAGGGTGGATGAACACAAACTACTCCAAGAACAATTTTTGTGAATAATGAAATTTTCGCCAGACAATTCTATCCAGTACCTTTGATATAGTAAATCCTGCAATAAACGTTTCTATGACAAGGAATTGCAGATAAGCTATGGAACACAACTATGCCCTTTTTTATTCAGTTTTATTCAGGACAGCCATCCAAGACAAGTGTTATTCCTACAGAACAAAACAGATCATAAGCAAGACTATACTGAGTAATAGAGTCTGTTGTATTATAAGATATTTTCCAAGAAGATCTAGCAATAATGTTGATAACTCATCAACATAGTCACTTGCTATTAAAGCTCAAATACCTTAATGAAGAAAATCGCAGCACTTTCAACTGTTGCAGTCTGCATGGCATTAAATTATATGATGGACTCCTCTAAGTGACAAACATTAAATCATGAAGCAGTTTGTAATGCATACGTGCTCTCCATCCTCTGTTAACATCCTTCCGCAGTTCCAGATTCTTCTCCCATATGTGGCAAATATCACCAAATGTCTTCAGCTATTTACAAAACCACACTCTAATGTTGGAAAAAAGTATAATAGAGAATGTTTCCTTTTCAGTCTTTACCTTCCATTAAAAATGGTGTTAGGGTGCACTTGGATAACAGGAAAAGCCAGTATGCATATATAATAAATCATGCCATTTTCTGGAGCTTTCATCATAATGTAACTAATAAAGCAGAGAAACAAGTTTTTACTAGTAACTGGACAAACACTGAAACTTATTTAATGCCATCAGGAGGCCTGGATGACAACATCATCAGTCACTTAGTAAATATAGTATAGACAAGGTTTGTACCCTGTCTGCAGTATGGAGCCCACTCAAAATGGCCCAGCCTTAGCCTGGATGGGCCGTATGGGGAGGTCTGTCAGCCTCCGCAAATACTCATTCCTAGAACTCTCAGTTAAACTTTAAGTGTCAATGAGCGCCAAGTAAGCTGGTTTGCATTAGATGGCTATGCACAAAAGGAGGAAGAGAAGTAATATTGATCTGAATCACGATCAGCCTTGCAAGGCTGTGTCTAGGAACAGAAGCCCATGTCCCATTGCCAAATCTTCATCTGTTCTTTCTAAACGGGCATTTTACAGTCCACTTTGTACCTCAAAATCTTTGTGCCTACTCAGTCCTCCTTGTTATTCCAAGTCCAAGGAAAGAAAAATAAGCTTAGATTGCAAAAACATCAAAACATTACTACTAGGAATTAGAAATTTGTTGCATTTAATATCTTTTCCTAAAAGAGTTTCACAAATCTTACATTGGGAGAAAAGCACCGTTTCCCACAGCCACACAGAGAGCATCACATACTATAGCAGCTTGCTAAACTGTGCTGTGTTTATCACAGTAGAAACAAATGCGTTGGCTTTCTACAGGCTCAGGGAACACTTTTCAAAGTTATAGGACAAAACATTTCCATGAGATTAAAATGATTTTCTTCTTTTTGACAAAAAGAGGAAGGGGGAGAGGAAGGGAAGAAGTACATAAGTTACATGAACACCTCTTTTCCCAGAGACTGTTCACTTTAAAAGATTTGCATTACTGTATGGTATAAATATAAGAAATAGTACAGTTGTAAATTCTCAATAATTTAATAATAATCATGCCTGTGTTCTAACACAGGAATGAAGTTAGGTAAACAACTTCTACATTACTACAAGAACTATTCTAGAATTCACACACTCGCTCCCACAGTTCAACTACTTGCCAGGTAACAGATTGATGAAATAGTCGAACAGTTATTTTTACTAAATTTTGTTGTCCTAAGGCCTCTTCCGCAGAGTACAGGTCAGCCTACAGAACCTCTAAGTTAAATACATCACTGGGTACAAAAGAGTTTAAAACATAGTATTCCAGTAATAAAGTCATGATCTAGTCATCTATACTATTATTAATTGAATTTTCATTGTAACTCTATTCAGGAGTTATTTCAAGTATTTGCAACACCTCTGAAACAATGGATGTTATTGCACAGCGTATTCCAAACACCTAACAGACCTCCAGAGCCTCTCTAAAAAATTTCCATTCATAATAAGGAGCCCATGGCTCCCTCTATATTTAGTAGGTTAAAATTACATTAGAAATATTTCTAATGTCGTTTTAGAAAAACAAATAGCTTGTTGAACATGAAAATGATAATTCTGAAACAAGGTATTTATAAACAAACCTAAAATTCAAGTAAAAGATCTTCTCCAGTATAAGTTTTCCATCTGTCTGAAATAATCAACAAATATTGTCAATCAGCTTTTAACAAATAACAGGCAACAGAATAATTCTTTGCTGAAAAAGAACAGGTAAAATGGCTCTCTGCAGTTAAATATCACAAAGCTGCACATCAGTTTTGCTGTTTTGTATACATTAGGGATTCTTCAGTCTTTAGTAAACTTGGCAATCTAAGGATCAAGCTGAGTTCTCATCACGTCATGTATCATTTTTAATTACAAGGACTCTGATAACTAAGTTTCTTCTAGTTGGTTTGCAAATGGATCATTGAAGGAATGTAGTAATTTAATTTGTGACACAACGAGGAGTACGAATCAGATCAGTACAACTTTTTAAAGATACCTTTGACTAGAAATTTTCAGACCCATATTTATTCCTAGTTAGGAGGCTCTGATCTAGTGGCTACGGTTATAGAGTTCCTATAAATATTCTGAGGTCAATTTAATGTCTTTGAAGGACATAAATTTGGCACTTATGGCGTAGAGCTAATGTATCTATGAAAAATCAAGAGGAAAGAAGAGGTTCACTATATCTTACTTACCAGTTCCCTTATCTGCTGCTATGAAAGATGAGGTCATTAACGTCACTGTTTGATCCAATTTGAATACAAAGACATCAAAATGTTGGTCTTATCATTTATAGAATTTATTCAAAAGATGTATCTGTTTATTCTTGGATTTTTAGTTCATTTACATAAGAAAAAAATGAAACATTATTCAAGAATACACAATACACACAGTGGAGTAAGGCAATTATGGTCAGACTACATTGCAAATGTCCAGTGTTATGTCACCGCCTGCTTATTCAGGTACTCAAATAATGTCGAGGAAGATGAAAAGAAAAACAAATTTTAAGGAATAATTATTATAAACAGAAGAAATAAAAAATACACTCCTACAGAGAAAGGTAGAGAAAAAATGTATTACCAGAATAGTATTAAATTAAGGTTGAAGTAGGAGGTCCAACAGCCCCCTCTAATGTGATGGTTCCCCAGCCTAAGATTCACTACTTATAGCAGTGCCAAAACTCCAAACTTCTGTGTACTATTTCTATCTTGGGATGAATTTTACTGGAAAATTTCAGTCAAGATGCTACAGCCACTCCAGAGAAAAAGGCTGGCAGAAATGGCACTTCTTTACAATGTTAAAAGATTCTGAAGATGCTTCCTTAGAGAACATAAGAAATCTCATGCTTTTGAATAAGGAATTGCAAGTTGGCAGGGACGCAGTTTTTGTGTTTTTTGCACTCTCACTGAAAAGCCACTCAAAACTGTCCAACTTGCTGCAAGGCTTTGAAAATAAATCCCGATGCCCTGTGCTTTCTACACAATCAGTACTTCCTGGGATTTAGTCGCTGTACTCGCCAATGGTTCTACCTGTCCTGGACATGCTCCTGGAGGCTGAGAAGACTT